ACTGCAACAACCACAACCACAACAACTTCAACAGCTTCAACAACAGCAGCCTCAACAAGCACAACTGCAACAATTTCAACCACAACAGCTACAACAGCTGCAACAACCACAACTGCAACAACTACAACCACAACAACTACAACCACAACAACAACCACAACTGCAACAACAAGAACAACGACAACAGCAGCAGCAACAGCAAAAGAAACAACACCAACAACAACTCGCCTATCAAATACTGCAGCCTATCGTACTGCAACTATCACCTCAAACACTACAAAACCAACAAGAGCAACAAAATTTTCAAACGCAGCCACAACCACTTGCAATGCAGCAGCAGCAATTGAAGCAACTACATCAGCCACAACAAATGCCGACATTTACCGTCAATGATGAAGATCAACAAATAGCATTTCAAACTCCATGTTCTGTTCCGGTTTCAGTTCAACATCAACAACATCTCAACCAACATCTCAATCAACAGCAACAACCCTTTCGACAAAACAACTTCCAGAACCATTTTCAAAACAAAAATTTTTCATTCCCATCGACACTGCAGTCTGGAAACTTTCAGTGGCAGGACCAACAACCTCAGCCAGCCTCTCGGAAACCACAGCAAATCGCCAAACATCTCTTCTTCCAACAATCCCAGCCTATGCCCTTCTCACAAACGCAACAAGTTTCACAACGACAACTTCATTATCAACCTCCTCAAATTTTCTTAGAGCAGCCGCAACTTCATCAACCGCCACAACTTCATCAGCCACCACAACTTCATCAGCCACCACAACTTCATCAGCCACCACAACTTCATCAACCCCCACAACTTCATCAGCCACAACCACAACAGCAGCAGAAAATTTTCTCGCATCATCAAAACCAAACTCCAATTCAGCAGCAGCCACAAAAGCAATCCTCCCTGCACCAACACCTGCTACTGGACGTAGAGCAGCCACAGCAAATATACATACCACAACTCTTCCCCAGCCAGCCACAACAACACCCACCACACTCTCAACAAGATGAACAACAGCCGGAAGAACAAGAACACA